TCTCTCTCTCTCTCTCTCTCTCTCTCTCTCTCTCTCTCTCTCTCTCTCTCTCTCTCTCTCTCTCTCTCTTCACAACATCCCGATGTGGGCAGTCTGGCGCCTCGCACCCACAAAGAGTTGTCACCCCGCTTCGTTCGAGCATGCAAGTTAGGTTTGCCTGTGTGCCACAGTCTGTCGCAGCCCCACGTCAACCCCGCATACTCAGCACCAGCCCGTCGGATCGCCCAACTCTCTACTCACCTCCTGATACCTGCTCATCAGCCGATCCTCTCGATCACGCTAACTCCAAAATTCATAGAGAGCGAGTTAATCACACTTGCGAAATTTATAGCATGCATGCTTGTGCGAGATACCCGGGATTATGCCTGAGTGGGAAGGAAAGAGAAGAAAGGAAGTGCCTACGACTGCATGGCTAGGCTGCGGTGTGGGGGACGTGGCCATACTCCACGCATCGATCCGGTCATGCAATCGTTCGGACCAAGGGGGCAGGGGAAGGAGTGCGAGCGCAGGAGCGCCCCAAAAGATATCAAGAACGAGAGGATTACAGTTACAATCATGCCTGCCAAAACAAGAGTTACAATTATACGTGGGATTAAGGCGCGAAAAAGCCAGAGCACAGATCTTGACGCGGCAAAGCGTGCGCAAGCAAGAAGCGTCGTGCAGAAAAATTGCGATGTACCTAAATTCCTAGCTTAAATCCTAATTACAAAAAGAAATTCCTACGAAAGACAATTTCGAGAGCCCGCGAGGGCTCGTCATCGGTTGAAAATTCAAAAAGACTTTCCCGCGCGGCAATGGCGCCAAAAATTCCCATTCCCCACAGCAGAACAAGAAAGAAGCTATAACAACAGTTATCTTTCGCGCTCGCTAAGGTGCGATCAACTACCAACCGTCGTGAGGCCAGGCCAACCTTGATTCCAAAGACAACAAAAGCAAGGGCACCCAGGCAATCCAGCGGTCCATCCCGATTCAACCCCCGAAGTAGCTTTGCGCAGAAAGTTGCGCAGTTGCAGAAAATAGTTTGTCACATATGTGACACCCATGGGGTTCCAATCTTGAGCAAGCTCCCGCTTGCTCTCCCATCATTCGCCGATCTGTAGAATATGCCGACGATCATCGTGGAGCCTACATGTGCCACTTACCGTGAGATAAGAGTGTGGGACGTCATCAAGTGTGGCATTCGTGAGCTTCAAACCTAGAGGTTGCCGGGGAAGGGTAATCTTATGACGGACGGAGGAAGAGGAGGGTGAACTTGTGGGAAGGGTGGCAGAAAGCGATGGAGTTTCCGATCTCCAGTGGAAAGTCGGGTGTAGTGGACGGTGCGGTGGATACGAGGGAAACGATGATCTTGATGAGGGAGTGAGGCAAGGTAATCAGGATAGAGGGTGCAGAGGGTGCAGGGAATTGCGGGGTGGAAATTCTCATATTCTTTGCACGCGGGGATGGTACCCGCGATTATGCAATAAACCTCTATATTATTATATTCGTGCCACACCGCGCTAAAGAGAAGGACGTGGAGGGGGAAGGAGGTGACGAGGGAACGAGTGGTGGCATGTGGGAAGACGGTGACGATGAGGTGGGTTGAATAGAGCTGGTGAAAAAGGGAAGGCAGGTAGGGGTGCCAATTGGAAGGAAACGAGGGGCAGCCCGCGAGCTGATGGAGGGTAAGAAAATCAAGGGGACGACGGGATAAAGACCGGGAACGAAGCCCGAGCGCCCGCATCTCCACGTATGCGAACGGTGGGCCATGGTGGAGAGGATTAAGTTGGCGAAGAACTTCTTCTACGACGTCTGCTTCTGGATCCCTCCACGGTGGCGACGCCATCTCCTCCAGGTTCCTCCTGCAACGGCTCTGGGTTGCGTGCCGAATCGCCTTGTAACAGCCGCGCTGCTGGTCCGTCCGATTCCTCCACCAACCTCTTTCCTTCTTCCCTCCCTCGCCTCTTTTGCGCTGTGGCCTCGTCGTCTTCGTTCCTATGCTCGCTGCGGCCACCTGATTCGTCCGACCTGCTTTCTTCTAACTCAACTTCCTCCGACTCGTTATAGTCGGGGTCGTCAGATTCGGCCTCAAAACTCTCCTCTTCGTCCCCTTCTTCTTCTTCTTGCACCTCTTCTTCTTCTTCTTCTTCTTCTTCTTCTTCTTCTTCACTCGCCTCCCTTCTCTCTTGAACTAGTATGTATCGAGTGTCGCCAAACCGTGCTCTACGAGACCTGAAGGAGCACATCAAGTCTTCTTTTTCTTCTTGCACCTCTTCTTCTTCTTCTTCTTCTTCGCTCGCCTCCCTTCCCTCTTCTCCTCTCCAAATTATCGGATCCCACAAGGTGAGATCCGTCATGTTGATGACCAGGTAGTGGCCCGAGGAGGGGTAGTAGCAGTTGTCGCCGTCAATCTCCGTGCACGTCGACCACAGCAGGTGCGGTGCCAAGGTATGGGTGAGTGTGGCCGGTGTGGGCCGCTCGTCGAAGCGCGAAAGAATGTCCAGAGGCAGGTCATCCAAGAGCTGGGCCACGAATACCAGGACTTCACTCGTGATCAGCTCCAGATGGCCGCCCCTCACCTTCCCGAACAAGATCCCCAACAACTCCCCCTCCGTATCCATTCTCCGCGCTTGGACTATCTGCAGCTCCACCTCGTCGTTAGGGACTTCGTCTTCCTCGTCCTTGTTGGCCGGCTCGGCCCAATGGAACACCACCTCGAGAAGACAGAAGTTGAGCGCGATGTACGCGTTCCACCACTCCCTCCACTTGCCGGCTTCAAGGATCGGTACGTCCAGATGTCTGATCCGAAAAGACAGAGGGGCGTTAGTAGCGGACTGCCAGAAGGTGGGGAGATCAAAAGGAAGCCCGGAAGTCGAGAGGCGATGCCGGTTCATTGGGGCGGCGCAAAGGGAAGGAGCTCCGGGATGATGACATCTGGTGCAGCACGAGAGAGCCGGAGCTGGCTGAGATCGACTTCGTTCGTGGGAACAATCCGATCGCCCGAGTGAGCTAACATTTGGACCCACGTGGTCGTGAGATCCTGCACCTAGAGTTGCAACTGTCGGAGGACGCCTGTGTGAGACGCTTCATGCAGCGTCATAAGATAGCCGGTAAAGGCGACAATTACTGACACGTGGCTGGCGCCTGGTGAAGACAGCTGTAGAAAAGCCAACGCCTCGGCCAACACTCATGCTTTGTTGCTGACCCGCACTAACCGGAACTCTGCTGCCGCGTGGACGGCCGTCGTGCTGAAGAAAGCCGCGAATCGAAGCAGATCGGGACTCAGTCGTGGTCGCTGCACCTGCCGGATGGACGAGATACGCCCCCCAGGTCTCATTTGTTGCTCACTAATGACCTGCTCAATGGAAAAGCTCATGGCGATGGGGGAGAAGGTGGAGACGAAGGTAAGGAAGAAGGAGAAGCAGTATACTTGAAATCGTCGCCTTCCTCCTTCGTAGCAGGGGGCGACGTAGATGCTGAGGGAGACGAAGAAGAGGGTAAGGGATGAAGATAGGATACATGTCGAATGATCGGTCAAGCCGATCGGCTTCCCGAGACCTTCGGCACAAGCCGCACCGTGTTCACTTCGCTAGGACCGAGTTCGATTTTACGGAATCGCCCGAAGAATCGTGGCGCTAACTTGCCCTGGCAAGCACATTTCCTTACCTGCACCATGTCCCCTAATTTATACTGGGGCCGAGGTCCAGCGTTTGCGTTCCGGGCCTCATAGCTCCGGACCTGGCGTCTGTGGGCCATTTCGGTCATCCGCTGTCTTTTTCGGGCTAACCGAGGGAGAGCCTTTTCCATGAGTTCCAAGTGGCGTTGGGCCTTGTCCTTAACCGTTGCCCTTGTGGCTCGTCGCCCTAGGATCGTCTCGTCGTTCTGGCTCGGCAGCGCTACGCATGCCAAGCTATTGGTCCGTAACTGGAAAGGGGTCAGGCCGGTGGACTCGTGGGGTTTCCCTCGATGAATGGCTAGGATGTGGTCCACTATATCGGCCCAAGGCCTCGTATCTCTAGCGGCAATATTCCGTCAGAGGGTGGTCTTGATTTCTCGGTTGGCGTTTTCTACGACGCCGTTCAATTGAGACATGTGTGGGGCGGTGTTCCGAATAGAGACACCATGCGTGACCAGACTCCGATGGACTTCCCCTCAGAATTCGGCTCCATTGTCCATTAAGATTTCCTCGGTATCCTGATGCATTCTGAGGAAACAGTTGACATGTCGCACTATTTTCGCCATCTGTCTCATCTTACAGGGATATACCTCTATCCATTTGGAGAAGTGGTCTACAAAAACAAGGAGGACTGAATATTCACAGTTATTCGGGCCAGGAGGAACGATAATATCGGTCGTGTCCATACTGACTCTTTGGAATGGTCGCTCAACTACCGTTGGGACAATGGACTAGGGAGGTTGAATCGGCGCTTTATCCGCCGCGCAGACCAAACAATTTTTGACGATGAATTTAACATCGTCCCTGATATTGGACCAGTACCATTCGTTCTTATCAATAGCCAACTCTGTAATCCTGACAGCAAAGTGGGCGGCGGTTTCCTCATGAGCTGACTTAACCCAGTCGTACCTCATGAACGGATGAGGCACCGATATCCAAATACCACTACCATCCATCTTTCGTTTCTCTAGCAGTCCGTCGTTCCATCGGTAATCCAGTGCCCTCTCGTTGGCCCGCCTGCGATCCTCCTTGGTGAATTCTCAGAGGGAGTTTCCGACCATTTTAGCTATTAGGACGATATTTGTCCATACCTCGGCACACCGAAATCGACGTGTCTTTTCTAGCTCCTCAGACGTGGCTTTGAGGAATCGAGCCTCCGTCGGGATCTTGTCGGTACGACAGAAAGGAGATAACCAAACTTTGTTCGCGTTCCGATATTGGACACAAGAGTCGTGGACCCTAGAGACACATCGTTCACAATCTAGCCATTTGACATACCCTTCCCCACTAGGACGCATATGAACCGAATAAACTCACGATATTGCTTCCCAAAAATAACAAAATTTGTAAGACAGGGAGAGAAAAGAAGAAGATGAGAGAGGAGAGAGGGGTCCCTTGGAATTACCTTCTCCACCCGTCGTCATCGTGTCCACGTGTCACTTCTTGGGGGTTCGGGGGAGATTGGCCACCTCTCCATACATTGGTCCCTTGATTTGCTCCGACTCCTTTCACGGGGTGATCTCTTCCCCATTTTGCCACCTTGCTTGGCCGATGCAGTCGTGTTAGCCCGTCGACGTTCATACTCCTGTAGCCGGACAGCCCATCGTCCAATCATGCCCGTATAGTTAGTGAGTCTCTGAGAGCCAACAGGGGCTCATGATCCATGATGAGGAGGAACTTCTGCCCGTACAGATACGGATGAAAGTGTTGAATTCCTCAAACGACCGCGTAGCACTCACCTTTAGGGGCTGAGTCGTTCCATCACTCGTCCGGTACCGTTCGCGAGGCGTTCTCGATGACGTGTTTGCAGCCGTCCTTCCCCTTCTGACCCAAAGTAGCGGAGATCGCCTCGGGTTGCTAGTTCGTGATAAGTATGAATTGTTTCTCAGGATCGGGCCGAATCAAAATAGGCGAGGAGGCCAGGGCCTCCTTTAGGGTGACAAAGGTCTGTTCGCACTCCGCGTCCCACTGCAGCGGCTGGTCCTTCCGTAGGAGGCTGGTCAGAGGCCCAACGATTGTCGCGAACCCCTTGATAAATCGCCCGTAATACGAGGCTAGTCCCAAAAAGGTTCGAACCTGCGTTAGTGACGTAGGCGTGGGGGCGTTTCAAACTGCCTCGCCCTTTCTTGAATCTGGTCTTAAACCCCCTCGTGTCACCACGTACCCCAAGAATGAGATCTCAGAGAGGAAGAACTCGCTTTTCTCTAGTGCGATCTTGAACCCGACATCCCGTTGTCAGGCGGCCACGAGCAGTGCGCCGCCTGAAATCTGCGATTTCGGGACTTAGGCTCGGGGACAAGTCCGTGTTTTGACGGTACTCTGGTATGACCAGGCARCAAAAATTRGGGGAACTCAGGGCACCCCTGATTTTGGGCRAACTGAACCTTTCGAGTAACCCYCAAAGATGGCGAWGTGGGTAGCTGCTCCCGGCACATCTAGGGACCGTCATTCCCACACGTCCCGAGGCTAGACCTGGGATGGCTGGCTGTGGGGAGGCATAGCGCGTGTTGACCCCGCGGCAATGCTTTTGCAGCATATGATCGGGCTGGAGTAGCGCCTCARATTTTATCAATTTTTGGTACCTAATTTAAATATGGGAGAAAAGATTGGGAACAGTAGGARGGAAGAGAAAAACGTAATATTCCTTAATTYCCCTATTCTTTCGCAGCATATAAATTTTCRGGAAATACCTCGTTATTTTACGTTTCCGGCAATGAAATATAACAACCAGAGAAAAGGATTAAGAATGGTAAAGGAGAGAAGAAAAAAGGGAATTTCAACCATTTGATTAAACTCCCTCAGAATGCATTTTTGGAGAACCTACGGCTAATTCACTATTTCAGACAATAGAGTTAACGAAAAGGGAGAACGATTAAAAAAGGGTGGAACAAACAGGAGCTAATGATTATTCGATGCCTGGCCCAGTTTTTGCTTGGGATACCCGCCGTCGGCTCAGAACCCCGATTTGATCAAATTCCCTGAGCTCAATTTTTTTTTACTATCCCCCATTGATCRAAACTCTCTATGAYGTGTCCCTTATTTACCTGATTGCTAGCCTTACTGAACCCGGCGGAATGGACGATGCCCGCATGGATATGGACAGCGTGGGGTCGTGTTACATTGGGCCGAYGGCATGATGRCAGGTTCGGTACCGGACATGTTTGAGGACCGGCTTGAGCCGGAATCGGCGTACTTCAGGTTCAGGCACCAGGGTGATTTATTTCCAGGATCGACATCATCACAACTATTTATTTCAGGTTCAGCATCATCATGACTATTTGTTACAGGATCGGAACCGTCACGGAGGCTTACCTTCAGGTCTGGAGCCACTATGACGATGTATTTCAGGTTCGGGATCCTAGTGGTAATTTATTTTCAGGCTCSGCGGTGATTTTTTTTCAKCTCCASCACCGCTGCGGCAGACTATTATCCGGATTCGGCACCCTCGCGGTGGCATGTGTCAGGTTCGGTGCCATTAAGACAATTTATTGGGGACACTGTGGCGACTTATTTCAGGTACGCCGCCGCCACGGCGGCTTATTTCAGGTTCTGGGGCTTCGGGAYGATTTATTTTCAAGTCTGGAGACTGCCGCGGTGGTCTGTCTCAAGCCCGGAACCTGGATGGCAGGTTATTCCAGGTTCGGTGCTATCACAGGTAATTAACTCAGGCTCGGCACCATCACTGCGGCCATCTATACCCGGTTTGGTACCACTATGGCGCGTTACAGCGGACAATCTGTGAAGATTTCCGGAACGACAGGCTGCCTGAACCGGAACGGGATAACTGAGGACTGACCCGGAGGCGGCACG